GGCATCATAGTGTGTGTTTTGTGAGATGGAGGAGGACTTTCTGGATTAGTGTTGGACATATGAGTTAATGGGTTAATGTGATACTTGTGGACTTGGGCAGCACTGGGTTGGGATGTTTTCTTGATGCACACTTGATCTTTACATAAAACTCTCATACTTGAGTTACTGTGGATTTATTTCTCTAAAGTACCCAGACTAATACAATATGCAAATAGAATTTTGCTGAAGATCATCCAACAAAGGTTGCATTGACGGGAGGTGCTAGGAATTCAATTGGATTCAGAAGAGGATGTGGAACAAGGAATATCATTGCTTACATCTTAGGGAGCTTGGCTGAAAGCAAAGATATCAAAAAAGGTGCTTATTTATGTTTAATTGACATAATAAATGGAAAGGCATTCAACTGTGGATCATAACAAACTATGGAGAGCCTTAAGAAGAACAGGAATTTCAGAACACTTTAGTTGTGCTCCCATGGACCTGTGCATGGATCAAGAGTTAATTATGTCAACAGAACAAGGTTTAGCATCAAGAAAGGTATGTGTCAAGGTTGTATCCCTCTCACCATACTTACTCATTCTGTATGCTAAGCAAACAGTCAGAGAAACGGGACTGTGTGGAAAAGAGCCTGGCATCAGGACTTGTGATAGATAGCTGATAGACATCTTGCTTGCTCAAAGTGAGGAAGACTTGAGTAATTTGCTGATGAAGATTAAGGATTGTAGCCTTGAATATGGATTTCAACTCATAAAAAAACATAATCCTCACAACGGATCCAATAGGTGACATCATGATAAATGGAGAAAAGATTGAAGTTGTCAAGGATTTCATTTAACTTGGATCCACGGTCAGTGATCGTAGAAACAGCAATCAAGAGATCAAAGAATGCATTGGGTTGAGTAAATCTGCACGAGATCTCTTTGTTTTCCGTCAGCTCAGATGCATGTTAAAAAAGGTGAACACTGAAGAAGAACCGATGCGTTTGAATTAGGATATGGACACATCAGCTATGGACGCTGTAAAAGTAAGGATGACGAGATTTCATCTCACATGAAATGTGTGGGGCTAATCTCTGGAAAAGGGCATCATGCGTGGTGACGTGAAAGGGCAGCAAAAAAGAGAAGACCCTCAATGGGATGAGCTTGCCCCATGTCTGCGACAGTGGGTTCACACATAACATTTGTGAGACTGGCCCAGAACCTGGCAGTGTTTCGTTCTATTGTACATACCATTTCTATCAGTTAGAACTGACTGGACAGGACCTAACAACATCAATATCGCCTTTATGTAATGGTTTGGCTGTAAGAACAGACATGTTGATAACGAAGGGTCCTATGGAAGAATTCAGCATGATATTTCAGAGCACTGATGAGTCAGACCTTTGAGACAAGTAAAAATAAGCTGTAGGATATTTTGTAGAAAAATTGAATTTTTATATTCCCCTGAGCAATCTCTTCTCTTTTCAGGATTCTTAAGTTTTCTTACGAAATGCAAATTTAACATTTTTTTAAGTCTACCTTTCCTTGCTTTTTTCCTCCCTGTACTAGCACCCCTGATGGCCTTGACTACACCGCTACCTCTATTCTTACACAATCTTAATGACTGGGAAAAAATGAGAGAGGGAGAAGTGAGATACTATTACTGGTCTTCATCCCCCACACATTTAGGCATTTATTTAAAGTCAGTGTGACTGCATAAGTTTCTATCCGTATGAAATAGATTGTTTAGAATTAAAGTTAACGTTTCTTTTTATTTAAAGGGCCCTCGAAGGCAAGCCATGAAAGAGATGTCCATTGATCACATCAAATATCAGCGATGGCTTATTAAAAACAAGATGAAGGCGTTTTATGCTCCAGTACACGCAGATGACTTGAGAGAGGGCACACAATATTTGATGCAGGTAAATGGGTTACATATTTAACTTTGTATGTTCTTTTAAAAACTTTCATGCTTGATTTCATTGTTAATTTTAATACAATGAGCAATTTTGTTTAATATTTTTCATAAAATAGACTGTTAAGCTTTATATCATTTGAGAGCTAGCGGAGCAGAGAAACAGTGGACGGAGGGCCGCAGTGAGGGATCTGAGCCTGCCGCTTTTCCTTTGGGCGGTTCCCCATTTACTCCCTGACTCACCCATGATTTTCTTATGAGATTGATCACTAGTGGCAATCTTTATTCTTAATTTTTTTTTTTGACTTGAACTACCAGTCCTTTATTCATGCACAGTGGAGGGGGCTAGAAGTACAAATTCACAGGTGGGTTTTTCAGCACATTCAGAGGATAGGATTCCCAACACCTCACAGCAAATGTCAAACCTCATCAGTTGTTAAACATGACAGCAATTGAGTCACATCCAAAATCGAAGTCATTGTCAGTGGTTATGGAGCTGCGATACTGGCCGAACTCATGCATTAACAACCTTTCCCTGTCGATATACACATCAAGAGTCTGCTCATGGAGCATGGGTGGGTTGTCTAAATAACATTCCTCAGGGACTGGAAACTCTAGGAAGAGGAACTTGCACAGTGGGACCATGTCCTCAGCAGTACCTCCAGGACAGCCATGGAGACGGGGCTTCCAGAGAATCTCAATCTGAGGGTTGGGTGCAGTGTCTCAGGGCAGGCAGGAGGCAGATGACCTGGGAATCCGTGAGCCTACAGCTATACATATCTAGGAAAAGAAGGGTGTCTGAGGTTTTCTCTAGGCTTATTCTTAATTTTTAAAGAGCTCTTTTCCATATATTTCTCACTATTTGTTAGTGCTATATTTAGAATTCACTTCAGTTTTGTGTATGGGAAAGTAGCCAGAATATGGAATTTGGGATTAGACCATCATTTAAATTCTAGCACTGCTTCTTGTGAATTTTTGAACATAACCTCTCTGAACCTATTTCCTGAACCCTAAAGGGTATGGAGAGAAACAAATGCCCCGGAGACAGTCTTAACTCATTTTTATAGAAACCCCTCTCTTCAAAAGAAAATGTAACCAGGATCCCATTGAATGTGGTAATTAAGGATTTACTGAGTTGAAGAAGAAATCTGAGATCTTGTCTTACTAATTCTAGTGGTAAGCATTTAATAATCATTAAGTCAGCATTTAACTATCCTGTGTCTACAACAGTACTTCAGGGGCACTGTTTGAAAGGGACGTGTAGAGCTTGCTTGAGAGCCTTTGCCAGGGAAACGTGAGCACAGCTAACGCCTGTATTTTGTGCTGCCTTTGAGTTTCTCTGTTTCAAGCAGGAGCCACTTGTTAACCAGACCAATTTTAACCTTTTGTTTGAAGTAGCAAAAGCCTATTTTCATAATAAAAAAATTTCAGGCTACACCCTGCAGGTGACCCTTTAAATCAAGCACATCTCATTCAGCAGTCTGGAATTATCTGGTGTGCCGAATTCCCCCCACATTTAACCCTTCTTCTTACATTTGAGGTAAAAACAGTGCCTTTAAAAAAAAAAGTCATTAGAATGGTGGTAGACCCAAACAACCCAAATAAATTTAAAAAGTATTTTAAATTTAAGCTTTTCTATCCACTTTGATAACTGAACCTTATCCTAAGTGCATATTAGTGTATATTAGTGTATATTGGTGTATATTAGTGTATATTGGTGCATATTAGTGTATATTAGTCATGAATGATAATTCAAAGCTCTACTGTTGGCTGAGCATTCCAAAATCACCCAGAACATTTAGCCAAAACTCTAATATTTTTTAGTGGTTCTTTTAAAAGAATACAAATCTCATGCCTGTACTTAGTTAAATTTAAGTAGCTAGCCATAGTGTATTTGTAATATGCCCCAGATGATAACTTTTTATATCATTTTATTGGGGGCTTATACAACTCTTATCACAATCCATACATCCATCCATTGTGTCAAGCACATTTGTACATTTGTTGTCCTCATTCTCAAAACATTTTCTTTCTACTTGAGCCCTTGATAGACATGATAATATTTTGCTGAATTGATTTCCATTATGGAAATTCATGAATAACTGCTTTTCTATGAGCAACTAAACATCTGTTTCAAAAAAGTATGTTTTCAGGAATAACTTTTTTAATACACATGACATTTTATAGGAAATGTGAAGGCTAAACGCATTACCACTAACTAATTGAATAACTCACTGCCATCCAGTCATTGCTGATCCATAGTGACCCCTGTGGGTTTCCAAGACTGTAACTATTCATGAGAGTACAAAGCCCAGTCTTTCTCCCTCAGAGCTGCTGATGTTTTGAACTGCTGACCTTGTGGATCACAGCTCAACATGGAACTACTACCCCATCAGGGCTCCTTCACTAGTTGAATAGCTACTTTGATTCTATTTTTTGTTTCTCATAGTATGTTTTTGGTGAAAGTTTACACTTCCAGTTAGGTTCCCATTTAATATTTCTAATATACACTATTCAGTTACATTTTTCACGGTGTATCAACATTCCTCATTGTTCGCATTCTGGTGGTTCAGTTTCCGCTGTTGTATCTCCCCTGCCTCCAACCCCAGTACCTTCTCATCTATACTATAGGGTCACTTTAACTTTTTGTCTCAGATGACAGAGCAGAACTGCCCCTGTTGGTTTCCAAAACTGTAAATCTTTACAGGAGCAGAACTCCACATTCTTCTCCCACGGAATAACTGGTGACTTTGAACTGCTGACCTTGCGATTAGCAGCCCAACTCAAACTGGGCTTCTTACTAGTCTCATGCAGATTAAACACACACACACAGGAGCACTGAACTCCTGTGGGGTGTTTGTGTATGAACTCGCCTGTGTTTTAGCTGAAAGATGGCTTCACTGTGTGATACCAGTTCATAATTTGAAGACTATGTTAGGATCATTTCTGTTGTCACTACTGGTCTGGTAAGTCTGCCCTCAGAATTTTAGTGTTATTCTGCGTTGTTTGCTCACTCAGTCTAGGGCCACATTTTGTGTCCCTATAGTGGTGTTAGTAGTGGCACCAGGACAATGTCTAATTTCTCGGGTCTGAGAATAGATGAAGCTATGGTTCACAGCGTCCATCAGCCCTTAGATTGATTTCTTCTTAGAATCTTTGGATTCTGCCTTTCTCCTTTCCTCCAGATGAGTAGACACCAATAGATGAGTCTTAAGTGGTTGCTTGCAAGCTTTCAAGACTTCACTTTGGTAGGATGTTAAAAAAAAT